AATAATGTTAAAAACAGCCTGTAATTTAACAACAGCCTCGTTAATCGAGGGACCTGCACAGTACATAACGGTATCGTCCGCATAAAAATGTAAGGTTGCTCCTTCGACATTTTCACCTAAACTATTAATATAGATAGAGAATAATAGCGGACCTAAAACTGAACCTTGTGGTACACCATTAGTGATGTTTAACCACTCAGAAGACAGCCCATCAAAGTGAACACATTGGGACCTTTCAGAGAGGTAGTTCACAAACCACCCACTGCATGGCTGGATATGCCAATACTGACCAGCCTCTGCTTCAAAATGCGATGATCGACGGTATCAAAAGCTTTGGAAAGGTCATTCAAATAGAGCTGCACAACTCTGCTTATTATCTAAAATACTCGTAATATCATTTACCACTTTCATTGTGGCAGTGATGGTGCTATGTTGCTTTCTGAAGCCTGACTGATGTTTAGACAGGATGTCATTTGTACATAACAACTCCTTTACTTGTTCACTGACTAGGCGTTCAAGAACCTTAGCCAGAACTGACAATTTAGAGATGGGTCTATAATTGTTTAATAAGGTGGCCTCCCCTCCTTTTAGTAGTGGCAGAACATAAGCTGACTTCCATACTTTTGGGATTTTGTTCGTGCTGAGAGAGAGGTTAAAAAGAGTAGTAAGAGGTGGAGCAATAAAATCTGCAGCTATCTTTAAAAAGAAAGGTTCTACGTTGTCCGGACCAGCCGGCTTTTTAGGATCTAGCTTGGTTAAGACTTCACGAACAACATCAACAGTAAAAGGAGTAAAACTGAAAGGGTTTTCCAGACCACATTGTTCTGAGTCACCGACTGTGGTGTTCACAGAAGCATAATTAGAAACAGAATGAAACAGAGAGCCACAGGACACAAAATGCTCATTAAAACAATTTAACATGGTAGCCCTGTCCGATATAGTGCCAGATGCTGAGGTAAGGCACGGAGGTAGCTCATTACGGATATCACCGGTGGATATCGATTTTATGGCTTTCCAGAATGTTCTAGGGTTGTTCAGGTTCTTTGTGGTAACTGCCAGATAATACTTAGATTTAGCACTTTTGACATGTGAAGTGAAGCTATTTCTTATCTGCCTAAAACGCAGCCATTCTACCTCTGAGCCTGATTTCCTAGCCTTTGCCCATGCCTTGTTTCTCTAATGTAGGAGACTAAATAATTCAGCAGAAAACCAAGGATTGTCTCGTCCCTTCACTCTAAATGTACGCAGGGGTGCATGTCTATCTATAATTTCCATAAAACCAAGATAAAAATAAGACCATGCAGTCTCAACATCAGCACACAAATCGATTTGTCCCCAATCAAACCCAAACAGATCATGTACAAAACCCTGCTCCACAAAATGTTTTATGTCTCTCTTGATGATAATACGAGGTTTAACCTTTTGGACCTTAGTGTCCCTAATTGTGGCTACAACACAGTGGTCACTCAGATCATTCGCAAATACTCCCACAGATGAATATTTATAGGGAACATTAGTTAGAATGAGATCAATTAGGGAGGATTTATTTGGGGACTTAATATTAGGGCGAGTAGGACTGTCAACAATCTGAATAACATTTAAAGAGATACAAAGGTTTTAAAAATCCTCTGACACTGCAGTTAACCAGTCCCAGTTAAAATCTCCAAGTAGCACTATTTCCTTGTCTAGTTGCGATAAAAGATTTGTTAGCTAAGACAAGGAGTCTTTGACAGCTGAGGGGGGTCTGTAACAGCCCACGACCATGACCTGTTGACCCTTTGCCCCTTCTATATTTAAGGCTAAAAATTCAAATTGCTTACTGATCGATTTGGAAACTAATGTGGATACACTGAACTTATTCTTAACATAAATGGCAACGCCACCACCTTTATTAGGTCGGTCGGTACGATACACATTATAACCATTTAAGGCAATGTCAGAGGCCAAAATAGATTTGTTTAGCCATGTTTCTGATAAAACAATGACGTCAGCGTCAGTCGAGGTTGCCCAAATACGGACAAAATCTAGTTTACCTAACAGACTGCGCACATTCAAGTGGATGAAACCCAACCCAGACCTAGCTTTAAAATCAGAAAGAGTAGCGATCTGACTACTACTACTGGGCGGACCAGGGTTAGGTTGTACATTTCCTGACAGTAATAACAACAACAAAAACAGGCATATTTTCCTCTTAAGCGACACACATACATTGTCATCTACTTTAGAATCACCGGAAAAGTCTGCGAGAGTGTGATTAGAGCTTAAGAAGCAGTCCTGAAGAACCATCATTGCAGGAAAACAAAAAAGACAAACATATTTTGTCGAGCAGATTGACTGTGACAAGGCAACCGGTAATTGTTTGTGTAACACATCCGAACCTTTGCAGGGGATGCCCACTGCGGGTGGCAGAACAGACCTGAATCCAGTAGACTCTTCAGAATGACTAGAGATCTTCTCATAGTCCAAAACAGTTAACAGGCATAGCAGAATCCCGATATGGGCCATTTTCCCAGACCAGCACACAGTATCCGCGATGTTCCTGGAGCAAAATCAGCACAGAAGCAAAGGACAGACGAAAGCAGCAGTGTGGTATCCCCGGGGTGAAAGCAGGCCTCTGCAACAGCAGAACCAGGACAGGTGGAAAGCAGGCCCCAGCCGTGGTAAAATCCTCCTCCGCACAGCAGCACACGCCCGGTGGAAGCAGGCCAAGCCCGAAGCGTGGATCCACTCCGTCTCTCCGTGACGACTCCGGGGTAAAAACCTCTCCAGTGCAGCCGTACTCTACAGGTGGGAGCAGGCCTCCGTAGATCGCAGATCGCAGGCAGCAAACAGGTGGAGCCACTCCGTCTCTTCGCGACGAGCAGGCCTCCGTAGAACGCAGATCGTCGGCAGCAACAGGTAGAGCCGCTCCGTCTCTCCGCGACGACTCCGGGGTAAAAACCTCTCCAGTGCAGCCGTACTCTACAGGTGGGAGCAGGCCTCCGTAGATCGCAGATCGCAGGCAGCAAACAGGTGGAGCCGCTCCGTCTCTTCGCGACGAGCAGGCCTCCGTAGATCGCAGATCGCAGGCAGCAACAGGTGGAGCCACTCTGTCTCTTCGCGACGTCTCCGGAGAAAAAATACCTCAGTACAGCCGTACTCGACAGGTGGGAGTTGGCCTCCGCAGACCGCAGACAACTAAAACTACTACTTGTATAAGCAGGGATGGCTAAATGTTTGTGAGCAGGAGAGCTAGATGCTAACAGATGCCATATGCTAACAGGTAGTGGGAGCCTGTAAAAATGTCTAATTTTGATTGTTTTTATTTTGTAACTTTTCACTGCCAAATAGCTATTCACCTCGGTCGTATAAGCTCAAGAGAGACCAATCACACTATAGAGAGCCAGTGAGTTAGATGGTCTTCCCCCTGTTTCATTGCAATCATGCAACAATTAATCATCTGATTAAAGCTTCAGAAAGTTATTTACTTGACTCAGTTATGGGAGATACATTCCACAAGCAAGCTGAGTTCTGTTTTAATGAGATCTGAAATCTGCAAATTTGTGAACGTGGTGCATATATATATATATATATATATATATATATATATATATATATGCGTGCATATATGCATATATGTGTGTGTCTGTATATATTTATAAACTGTATATTATTTTCCATCATTCAATGGACAATGGAGTATTTGTACTTTTTTAATATATACCATCAAACATAAGTTCATATATAAAGTGGGTAACTATATAACACGAAGTGAGATAACTGTTTATGAATATCTGTTCAACTTTATGTAAACTTGTGTAACTCATGAAAGATAAATGAGTGTTTCAATAAAACTATTACATATACAAATGTATAGTGCAGTTTTTATTTTCGTTGCAATATATATGTTTTAATGTATAAATGTAAATGTATACAGTATAGCCATGCATATATTGCAATATATTAAAAAATATAAGGACTACTTTCCCATATATGGAAATGTATGATCCAGTATATTGCATTATATTTACCAATATATTTTCATTTCATAAGGGAAAGGTCCACTCAGCTGTATATATATATATATATAAATATTTATATATATCTGTTGAAGAGTTGGGAAGGTCACTTAAAAAATGTAATCCGTTACAATTGTTAATTACCTGTGTAAAAAAGTAATCAGTAATGAAATCTAATTACCTACCTACAATCTAATTATTAAAGTAATGTTTCCTGATTACTTTCCGTTACTTTTGGATTACCTCAAAATCAAATATGATTATCAATAAAATTGCTTTCACTTATTGTATTCTAATAACAGAAAAGAGAAGACAGCACAACAATGTAACATTGGAAAATAAAAACAAATATATTCAGTATACTGTATATTGATTTTTATAAGATAAAATGGACCTTTATTAATCCCCGTGGGGAAATTCAGTGGTTTAAACAGCTACAGGGTAAGAATGAAAAACAGGACAGCAAAGATTCACACAGATTAATACAATTAAAGATAACATCAAAGATAAAAAAAATAATAATAAAAAAACTATGAAATAAGAGATTAATTAAAATGAACATTTATACATGTTGGGTCATATATATATATTAGATATGTTTATATGAATGACTGGAAACAGTGTGTATTTTATGTCCAGTAATTGTGTCACAATGTTGACCCCTTGTTGTACAGCCTGATGGCTACAGGCACAAAGGACTGTCCGAGGCGCTTGGTGCTGTGCCGAGGAGGGATGAGTCTGTGCACTGAAAAAACTGATTATGACCCCTTTTAGATGTTACATGTTTTAATCTAGCCTTTTTTAATAGATTTGAATGTGTTGTTGCATCCTTCTTATCTTTTTTAATTAATCTTAACATATATTGTCACTGTTTTAAACAAGCTCATTTCATTCATTTAAAAGTAATTAGAAAAAAATATGTACAATTTAATTACCACATATACTGTCCTGTCTGCGCATGTGCATACACAAGCAGCCCGCTACTTTTCCCTCCATGTTCCATTCGGAAGGACCATCACCTGACTGCCTGCGTAGCTCCTCTGTCGTGAGGTGAACGTTCTCCACGGCTCTCCGTTTTAAGTAAGTAGCTCATTCATAGCCTTGGGTGTTGTGAAGCTGAAAATTGAGCGGCCCAACCAAGCAAGGAGGCAGAGGCAGAACGTCCAAAATACAACCCGGTGTGGGCATTTATTAAAGTCAGGAACACATGACACACAGCCTCAATCCTGCTGGTTCTCCCTGACCACAGCCTGCAGCCACAAGGATCTCATACACACTATCTCCCAAACAGCAAAACCCCAGAGCCTAAATGCCCAACCCAATCAACCCAACAGGACACAGGTGAGGGGGGAGGAGACACCACAGAGCACCAAATGCACACAATCAATGGCCACAGACATGGGGAATGGGGAACACATTTCAAAATAAAATACAATAAACACTACATCAATAAATAATATAAACTGTATAAACATGTGCACATATGCAAGGCCCGAAGCCATCAGTGACAAAGTTACCTTAGTCACAGGTGTATTATATTATACTTAAACAGGTAGATTAATAGCTAACATTAACGCTATTGACTGTGTGTTTTGATAGATTAACATTAGCAAACGTAGGCCTACAGCAGCTAGCTAACTGTTAGCCTACTGTTAACCTAGCTTAGTTGTGTAGTAATGTTTAAGTAACCTAATTGAAGTGTAACATGTATCATTAACATTATAAGATAACTTGATACTGCTCTCAAATTAAATACGTGATAAATTCAATCTTTGTCTTGTTAGACTTTATTATTAGTTTGTAGCTAATACAAGTTGAATACTGCCTGTTACTATGCTTTTTTTTTTGTAGCTTCACCTGGCTTGTATACTGGCCATTCCTAGCCTACTGTGTTCCTGACCGGCTGTAAGTATGTTTTTTTGTGTAACTTGTTCTTATCACTGTGGTAATATTAGGACACAACTAAGCATGTGAAATCACATTGGTTTTGGTAACGTTACTCTCTGGAGGCAAGGGGTTAATGTTACCGCGGCTAACGTTCATATAACGTTTCACACGAGTACTTTTCCCCCCGAACCTTATTTCCACCCCCCAGATAGTCCCTGCTAGCGAGTTATTACTTTCCTGAGGAGGGAACTGGTTCGTGGGTGTGTCGGCCCCACTACACCACAAACAACTTCACGGCGTATACTGCCACCGGAAGTCCCCAGAGTTGGGGACTGGCTTCTACTGAAGCCTTCCGAGTAAATCGCCAGAAGCGCCGACACCTCCTCATCACTCCACCGCTCCCATGTATTATTTTGTGTTGCCATAAGTTAGTCAAAAATAGTTAGTGTTGCCGACACACCCACTAACCTTTTCTCCCCAGGAAAGTACCACCTCTCTAGCAGGACGGTCTGTTTATCGGTACTTGAGACATTTAACATTATATTGCAGTCTTAGTTTCGCCAACACCGTTTATAATATGCAATAAGACAAAATGCGTCGATGTATTTTCAATCTTTCCAATCCAGAGGAGAGATCTCTCTCTCCCCGTCTGTGTGCGAGGGGGTGGGGCAGTTTATACACACGCGGCTGCTACATGCATGCAACACACATACATGGTGGAGAGAGAACTAAGCGCTCCTAGGTATGGTTAATTGTTACCCGTTTTGAGGTGGACAATGCTCTTTGCCAAAAGTGAGAAATCATTTATTGCTTTTGGCTATAGAATAGAATATAATCATTTAATGTCATTATACATGTACAATGAAAGAAAGAAAAGCTTCTCCCTTTTTAAAAGGTGCCATCAAGTGCAATAACAGTTTAGCATGTAAGGGCGGTAACAAAAGCAATTTGTCTAAACATTTAGCAAAAGTGCACCACATCCAGTAATATTTAGGCTCTATTTAAAATAAAATAAAAACGTTACATTGTTTGTCACAAAGGAGTTTGTAGGATTTTTAGTCATTGGCCTAACACAAGTCAGTAATCATTGGCAATCAATTACCTTTTTTCATTTACCATTATTATTTTTAATTTCTTTATTTTTATTGCAGGTTTTGCTATCTGATGTTGGTGTGATGGGGAACAGAACCTTACTCACAATACTCCATATTGATGAGGTAAGTTATATATTTCACATGGTGAATGGTGAAATGCCTATTTGCTGTACACATCGAGCTGCTACAGAGCAACATGATCATACATTTTAAATGGTGTTTCTGTCCATCTGATAAGTCCAATATTCACATATTTTAGCTCTGTTTATGCTCTCCACCAATTCCTTAGTAAAGTATTTGGCTCTTTAGCTGCTCAATGTTCCGCTTTCTTCACCAGCTATTCTCTAACTGTCAGTTTGATTGTCTGAAGAAAACAGCTGCTGCTGGAATTGGGGTTTTCACTTTATACCTCAACATTTTACCCATTTTCAATTAAAGTATTAGCAAGGTTTAAACAACCATACAGCTTACATCTCTAGTTCTGATTCCTTGCAATTACCTTAGATTCATATAAATACTTTGGTTAGAATACACTGTGCACCAATACACGTCTTATCAAGGACTTGGTTAATGAGGTCAACATTAGAATTTTTAATTATATAGTAGATACAAAATATCATTACACCAATGGCTGAATGTGCTCTTTGTCTTTTGTCGTTTTGTTTTTGCATAACAGATACATGCTGAATTCCAGCACATAACAACTATCCCACTTGAAACAGCCTTCATGGCGCAGTTGGACAGCCATCTACCTCAGCTGACATCTGTCTTCCAGAAGAAGGGAGGAGTTGTTGGCCAGAAACTAGCCAAATATCTGGCGATCTTGCAAAAGGTAAATGTGTGTACACTGTTATATTTCACACAGGCTCCGCCCTCTACTGGACTCTATGGGTACTACTCTCTATCATGCTGTGCGTGCTTTCACCTACTGAGTTTACGTAAATATAGCCGGCCAATCGGGGCGAGCCTACCTGAATGCGCGTGCAGGCCCACAGTATATAAAGGCGGCTACACCCGCCACCCACTATCCTTTTTGTCTTCAGACGAGCTGACAACCGAAGAGTTAAACGAACGAAGATTAGAAGATTAGAAGAAACGGAAAATGGACTCACCATTACTGGAAGCTCGGCCATGCACCTGCCCTGGTTTGATCGCGGGCGCCGGTCTCCACCACCTCTGCTTAGAGTGTTTGGGGGACCAGGATATGGCCGAGGCGGTGCCATTCACGTTCGCCATTCCAGCGGGGCGGATGGCTCCGTTTGCCGTTGTCGGGCACTTCCGGGTCCGGTCCATGGAGGTCCACCGCCCTAAGTGATGACCATGGCGGCGGAGCGCAGCTGCTCCCAGCAGGCAGCAGGCTGGGCAGGGAGCTGAAAACAGCTCTGCCACGCTACCGCGTGACAGGGCGACTGCAAATAAACACGGGTGTGTTGGGCATCTCGCTCATTGCTGGAGATGCCCCCACCTCACCAGATCGGAGCGATTATTTGTACCTTGGTCGCCGTTGTCTGCCGTGTGATATCCTGGTGAGGGATCACGCCGCATGGCACTTTCCAAAAGGACCGTGTTGTTGATCTCCCGGGCCGGGAGCTCCCGTGTTTACGGAAGGGCTCTTTGGATCGATCTCCTTGGTTATGTGGGTGAGGAGTAGTCGCAGCGTGGCTGCTTCTGGCTCATCCCCAGAGGAAATAACACTGTCCCACACTCCCCGCCCCCTCTGTAAACTCCAGTATAGGAGCCAGCAGGTGGGCGCGTGCACGTGAGTGGAATAAACCGAAGTGCTGTAAAAAAAACTGTGCGGGTTCAAGAGAGAGTGATGTGTGTGAGAAACGCATTCAGTGAAAACGATTGCATTTATCCCAGAGTAAGAGTCATCTCTCTCCACATTTCCACTTTTCACCATAATGTCCGTTTCAAAGAGACGGCATTAGGACAGAGCCGCGGCCCCAGGGGAGCGTGCCGCGGTGCGTTCAAGGACCTCAGTAGAAATTCGGCCCTTTTCTCTGTCAGCCCCCATGCCAAAACTCCCTTCTTATGGAAAGGTTTGGCAGCGGAGTAAGCCACCAGAGAATACTACAGCTTCTTAGCTTTGGCTCCACAGCTGCTGGCATGTCCCCTGAACACAGTTTTGTGGGGAATGGAAGCCCCACAAAAGCTGTGTACTGACAGAGTAGAGGGGCAGGACACTGAGACTGGGTTACTCACTCAAGCTTTGCAGCGTCCCTCCTCCATTCAGGGGCAATATAGAGTCAAATCTATCATCCTGGGAGGAGATAGGTTTCCTTTCAACAGGAAGTCGAAAAGAGGCCCTGTTGCAAGAACGGTGGGTTATGTATTGTAACCCTAGTTCTAGAGTGATGTGTGTGTATGTGAAAAATGCATTTAGTAAAAACTACATGTAGCCTATGGCATTTATCCCAGAGTAAAAGTCGTCTCTCTCCACAATTCCACATTTTCCCATAATGTCTCGTTGAGATCGGCAAGGCCGTTTTCATACGATGTTAATTGGACACCCATTATGAGGCGCGGCCCCCGTGAGAGTGGCTGCGGTGCGTTCAGGGACCTCCACAGAAGAACAGTGGGTTACGTAGTGTAACTCTAGTTCTAGTGATATGTGTGTGTAAAATGCATTCAGTAAAAACGAGTGCATTTATCCCAGAGTAAGAGTCATCTCTCTCCACATTCCACATTTCCCCATAATGTTCGTTTCAAAGAGACGGCATTATGACGCTCAATAGCCTTGTTGACCGCGGCAGAGAACCTGTGGTTGTGGGTTTCACAGATTGTGTTGTCTCTAAGGGCCCTGCACATCCCGGGACGGGAGAATGGGGGGGCCGACCCTCATGTCAAGAGGCGGACCCCTGCCAGACGAGTGGAGGCTTCACCCGGAGGTGGTGAAGCAGTTCTGGACTCAGTTCGGGAGAGCAGAGGTGGACCTGTTCGCCAATCGGCGCAACAGCCACTGTGCCCTGTGGTTCTCCCTGGCCCGGTGGGACAATCCGCCCTTGGGGGTGGACGCATTTGCACACGAGCCATGGCCAAGGAAGCTGCTTTACGCCTTTTACACCGCTGCACCTTATCCCCCCCCCCCTTCTGGATAGGGTGAGGCGGGGAGCAGCTGTCAGTCATCCTAGTGGCCCCAGATCGCCGCCTGGCGCCGTGGTACGCGGGGTAACACAGATGATGGTGGGCCAGCCCTGGGCTATTCCTCAGGTCTGGGGAGCGCTGTCTCAGGAAGCAGCGGCAATAGGGGCGTTACCCACTCTGGGCCAACCTCTCCAGGCTTGGCTCCTGAGAGGGACAGGCTGAGACAGGTGGGGCTGTCTGATAACGTTATTCAGACTATCCAAGCAGCAGGAGCAGAATCCACCACAGCCTACAGGCCAAAGTGAGCGGGATTCCGGCGATGGTGTGAAGGAAGGAGTCTAGAGACTCTGTCATGCACGCTGGGCTCTATTCTTACCTACTTACAGATGCTGGTGGACAGGGGGCTGGCTCATTCCACAATTAAGGTGTATGCAGCAGCCATTTCATCCTGCCATGAGGGATTTGGAGGCGGGTCAGCCTTCAGTCAGCCGCTTATGTCGCGGTTTTTGCAGGGGGTCAGGAGGCAGCGCCCAGTAGTACACGCCTCCGCCCCACAGTGGGACCTGCCGTTGGTGCTCGAGGCTCTGGTCACAGAACCATTTGAGCCCCTGGAGCTCTCCTCCCTGAAAGCACTGTCATGGAAGACAGCATTGCTACTTGCCTTGACTTCGGCCAAAAGAGTGTCCGAGCTGACCGCTCTGTCGGTGCACCCAAGCTGCCTTTTGATCCGGGGTGACTGTAGCGGGGCGACAATCAGACCGAACCCCTCCTTTACTCCTAAGAACCTAAGGAGTTCGTTCAGGTCAAGGGCTATTCAGTTAGGTGGCTTTAATCTTCAACCTCATATTGAGGCCAGGGAGGCTAAATTGCACCTCCTCTGCCCAGTGCGTGCGCTAGCATGTTTTGTAGAGCGCACGGCCGCCATTAGACGCACTGAACAGCTGTTTGTGTGCTTTGGGGATGGTGTGGCTAGAAAAGCTCTCTCCAAGAAGCGCCTAACAGAATGGCTATGCGGGTGCATTACACATGCCTATGGACGGGCGGGGAGAGCCCTCCCCACTGGGGTCCGTGCGCATTCTACACGGGCTGTGTCAAACAGCCATATTCAGCAGCGTGAGTGTAGAAGATATATGCACGTCGGCGTCTTGGTCTACGCCAGGCTCCTTCATAAAATGTTATCTCCTGGACATGTCTGGCTCCTTCTCGTCGTCTGTGCTTGCCGAGGCAACGCATGACTGGTGAGAGGGGGGGTGGCTGTGGGTCAGCAGGTGTCTGACCCCCCCCCCCCCTGGACATAAAGCAGTTGTGTTTTCCCATGCTCCTGAGGGACTCGGGAGACATGGTGCGCAATCAGCCACATACAGGGCTGGAGGCAGGCTGGGAGAGCCTTCCTCGCTATTGTCCATGCCCACTCTACACGGAGCGTGTGTGAGTGTGGGGGACGTGGTGCACTTATGTTTTCCCATGCTCCTGAGGGACCTGGGGAACATGGTGCGCGGTAGGCTCCAGACGGAGTCTCCGCACAGATCTTTTCCATGCACACTCTACACGAGGTAAGCGTGTGTGAGTGTGCCTTATCCAAATTGCGGCCCCAACTTCTCTACGGTTACAACCGGATGGGAGGAAGTGGGGATGCAATGGATGTTAGCCAAAAGCCGGTCAGGGACGGTGTGGTGGGTCGATGTTGTTGGATGACAGGGCGTGTATACATCAGCCTGTGTGAAATATAACAGGGGGTTACGTATTGTAACCCTAGTTATATAAGCACAGGCGGAGCCCTCTACCTGGGGGCCCTGTCTTTCCTAGTCCGCTCGCTGAAGAGTGTAAAGGATAGTGGGCGATGGGTGTAGCCGCCTTTATATACTGTGGGCCTGCGCGCGCATTCAGGTAGGCTCGCCCCGATTGGCCGGCTACGTTTACGTAAACTCAGTAGGTGAAAGCACGCACAGCATGATAGAGAGTAGTACCCATAGAGTCCAGTAGAGGGCTCCGCCTGTGCTTATATAACTAGGGTTACAATACGTAACCCCCTGTTTTAT